GGGGGGAAATCCCGGACTATTTTGAGTGCTTTACAAATTCCCCCCGGACGCTATTTTTAGCACAAAAAGGAGGACATGTCCGGGTAAATCCGGACGAATGGTAACCCTATTTGATACCCTCAGCAGTGCTGGAGAGGAGGATTCCAGGGCCAAGTTATAACAGCGACTAAGGCTATGTCTACACTGCAACCAAAGGGGTGATTTGAAGCACAGGTTGGCCTACCCACTCTAGCTTTAATCTAGCTAGCATGGCTAAGAATAGCAGTGAGGACATGGTGGTGCAGGCTAGAAATGCGAGTACATCCCCAGGATCCCCGGCATGCCTGTACAGGCCATGCTGAAGCCCATGTCCCTGTGTCTGCCCTACTATTCTTAGCTGTGTTAGCTAGATTAAAGCTAGAACGGGTATATTGTCTGTGGGCTGCAATCACACCTCCAGTTGCATTGTAGACATACCCTGAGGGTGAAATCCTGGCCCCGTTGACTTCTGTGGGGCCAGGATTTCTCCCCTAAGAGCAGGGTGCTCTTTTCTAGGCAACTGTGAAGGAAATGCTGATTGTTGGACTCAATCTCTTTCTCTCTCCCCTCCAGCTTGATTCTTTGCAAGGATGGGGGAGGCAGTACTAATGGTTAAAGAACAAGAGTAGCCATTAGGCCTACTGGGTACTATTCACAATTCTGCCACTCCTGCTCAGTGTACCTCCCTGTACCTCAGTTTCCCCATATGCAAAACACTACATTACTCAGGGCTGTAAAGTGCTGTGACTTCCCTGGGTGAAAGATTATATAGCTGAGGAACAGTAGTGTTGCCTACTCTGCCAGTCCCCGTCAGTTGACTGTGACCTTGTGAATTTCTGCCACGCCCCTTTGGTTCTGAGCAGTTCATTTTTTTCAAAATTCGGAGGGATTTTCCTTTTAATGCCATGACTAAGCCTGGAAGGGATCGCTCTTAGAGTGATTTATCCAATGAGACTTATAGTGACTCTGGAGAGAGACCTACAAACAGCTGAAGTGCCTTAAACACTTGCTCATTCAATAGAACTGGTCACATTTTTTTTTGGAAGTTTGGTTGCAAAATTGGTGGAAAAATAGACACAGTATTCATAAATCTCCCCACCCCTCTCTTTTTTGGCCAATGTCAGAGCTAACTGAAATGTTTAGAATTGAAAATATGTCAGATTTCAATGAAAATATGGGTGGGGAGAAATCTGAAAATATTTTTGCAAATTTATTTTCTTGTTTTTCAATCAGATTTGTTACTCTAACATAGACTCGATTTATCATGGTAAACATCCTTCTCTTCTCCACAGATCATCTACGTTGCCCGAAATGCTAAGGATGTGGCAGTCTCTTATTACCATTTCTACCAAATGGCAAAGATGCATCCAGAGCCTGGCACCTGGGATGAATTCCTGGAGAAGTTTGTAACTGGGGAAGGTAAAACTTGAAGCTAGATTCTCCCTACAACACTGAGCTCACAGGCTGGGACAGTGCTAAACCAAGAACTATGGAGCAGATTATCAGCTGCTCTAAAGATACTTTATTATACCACATGAGAATCTTTTCCCATAAGTGTATCCAAATTTCAGTTAGACAGAAGCCCCTACAGGGCAAGATAAAAGAACATGAACACATCTCCCATCAACCTCCACTTCTTGGTTTCTGGTCCAGAAACAAGAACCGGATCCAGCTAGAACATCCCTAAGAGTATGTCTACACTACGAAATTAGGTCGATTTTTAGAAATCCATTTTATACAGTTGATTGCGTATGTCCACACTAAGCGCATTAAGTTGGCGGAGTGCATCCTCACTACCGGGGCTAGCATCGACGTATGGAGCGGTGTACTGTGGGTACCTATCCCACAGTTCCCGCAGTCTCCGCCGCCCATTGGAATTCTGGGTTAAGTTCCCAATGCCTGATGGGGCAAAAACATTGTCGCGGGTGGTTTTGGGTACATGTAGTCAGTCGCCCCTCCCTCCGTAAAAGCAACAACAGACAGTCGTTTCGCGCCAGACACCAGGGTGATTAGAAGAGCACAGATAGGCATGCTGCGCATCAGAGAGGCTTTGAAAACCAGTTTCATGACTGGCCAGGCTTCGGTGTGACAGTTGTGTGTGTTTCTCCTTGATGCAAACCCATCCCCTTTGTTGATTTTAATTTCCCTGTAAGCCAACCACCCTCCCCACTTCGAAATAAAGTAACTATTGTTTTGAAGCCATGCGTTCTTTCTTTATAAATTAAAAAAAAATGAGATAATGGACAAGGTAGCCTGGGTGGGCTGGGGGAGGAGGAAAGTCCAAGGCCATATTGCTTATTGTAGCCACACTAAAAAACAAACTGTTTGAATGACAGCCTTCTGTTGCTTGGGCCATCCTCTGCAGTGGAGTAGCTGGGTGCCCAGAGCCTCCCCGCCCTGCGTTCTTGGGTGTCTGGGTGAAGAGGCTGTGGAACATGGGGAGGAGAGTAGGCGGTTATAGAGTGGATGCAGCGGGGGTCTGTGCTCTTGTTGGCTTTCCTGCAGCTTCAACAGATGCTTCATCATGTCCGTTTGCTCCCCCCACAGCTGCTTTATCATGTCCGTTTGCTTCCCCATTAGCCTCAGCATCACGTCCTGCCTCCACTCTTCGTGCTCACTTAATTCTATCCTGGCCTCTGCCACTGAATGCCTCCATGCATTAAGCTGTGCCCTATCAGTGCGGGAGGACTGCATGAGCTCGGAAAACATGTCATCGCGAGTGCGTTTTATTCACCTTCTAATCTGCGATAACCTCAGGGACGGAGATGATGGGGGGGGACTGCATCGTCCCTGTGCTGCTGAGCTCGCCACGCTGACCAAACAGGAAATGAAATTCAAAAGTTCCCAGGGCTTTTCCTGTGTGCCTGGCTAGTGCATTGGAGTTCAAAATGCTGTCCAGAGCAGTCACAATGAAGCACTCTGGGATAGCTCCCGGAGGCCAATACCATCGATTTGCGTCCACACTACGCCAAATTCGACCCAGCAAAATCGATTTTAGTGCTATTCCCCTTGCTGGGGAGGAGTACAGAAGTTGATTTTAAGAGCCCTTTAGGTCAACAAAACAGAGTTGATTGTGTGGACACATTCATTTTTAAATTGACCTAACGCGACTAAATTCGACCTAACTCCGTAGTGTAGACCAGGCCTTAGATGCTCAGGCAGTCTGCTTGCCTAGCTAAAGTCTCAAGTTATCCGTTCCTGGAGGGGGGACGGGAATTAGTTGTGTTAAAAGGGGTGTCTCAAGACATCCAGCACCCCCTTATTTCCCTATCAACCCATTATCCTGGTATGATTGTGCCATTATGGGGTTTTTTTGAGTCAGCCAAAATATTCACTATTTAATCTGACTTCTTTGCTGATATCACAGTGAATCCATATTAAATGTGAATGTTTCCCTTCTCTTATACTCCTCTCTCTTTGATTTAGTTGCGTTTGGACCTTGGTATGATCATGTGAAAGGCTGGTGGGAGAAGAGAAAGGACAAGCCAATTCTGTACCTGTTCTATGAGGACATGAAAGAGGTGAGGGAGGGAAAGAATATAAACTCATGTAATGTTTTGGCCCCACATGCGTTGTTTGTTTGCATGAGTATAACAAGTAGGAAGCAGCTATGCCTATCAACAATACTTATTCAGAGAGCAAAAGAATCAGGCAGAGGGATCAGGCTTCACAGGTAATATGCTCAACTTCTGAAAAGAACTACATCACAGCTGACAATAGGCATGTCTCCACGATCCAATTCCTATACATTCAAATAAACAGAACTAGCCAATATAATTTGCAATAGTGCTATCTGGTGATTCCCAATAATATTACACACACACAGATTTGGAAGATTAGGGATCTCCCTTTAAAAGGAAATGCCAAACCCCTCCATTCTCACTGTCCCCAATCCCACCACCCGGGCTGAAAAAGTGACGTTGTACCAGCACCTTTTAATAGTTTCCACATCATTCTGTGTGGCATCTGACAAACTGTCTTTCTTTCTAGGATCCTAAACGTGAAATACAAAAGGTGTTACAGTTTCTGGGAAAGGACTTGAAGGAGGATGTGGTGAATAAAATCCTTCATCACACCTCATTCCAGGAGATGCAGAAGAACCCCACTGCCAATTATAAGATGGTATCAAAAGATCATATGGATCACAGTGTGTCTCCCTTTATGAGAAAAGGTGAGAGCCCAATCACAAGAATTATAGGAGGGTTTACAGGAAAGAGGAATGGCTGGTAACATAGAAGCAGGGCCAATAACAGCTATAATCTGAGGAAAAGCCAGCCACTAGTTCTGCTTCCATAGGTGGGGAAAATCTCAGGATCCAAGTTTTATTCTTTACCAGACAAACCTGGCTAACGATGGAGCTGCCTAGGAAAAACACTGTTCAAGGAGAAATGGAACTAATGGGGAATTAGGGTGAAAAACTGTCACCATTTAACCAAGCCCTAGTGAGATCTCTGAAAGAGGCAAGAGACAGAAGGGAGAAAGTAGACTATAGATTGAATCATTCCTTTGTTTTCACAGATTTATAGGCCAGAAGGGACCATTATGGTGACCATCTAGTCTGGACTCCTGCATAACACAGGCCACAGAATTTCACTCAGTGATTCCTGGTTTTCTCCTCCAGGTATTGCGGGCGACTGGAAGAATCACTTCACCGTGGCCCAGAATGAGGCATTTGACTCAGATTATAAAGAGAAGATGAAGGGATCGACACTGCAGTTCCGAACGGAGATCTGAAGCAGCAGTAGCTTCCTTCCCCCTGGCTTAGGTGTTTAGTTGGCTTAGACAAGAGAGAAATTGAAATTAAATGGTGGCACCAAAGCAAACAGCAACTGTTAACTACTTTAGATATGATTTTTTCCATATGTTTCTATTTTTGTGGGGTCTTCAGTTCCATAACTGCCATTTGGATAATGCAGATAGGACTTCAAGCCCCACCCCTCTGGACTGTCACTAGACTCAGTGATGGTTTCAGCTGTTGTGCGCTGAGATTCCCACATAACCACATGACTCCAGGGGCTGTGGCTTGAAGAAAACCCACCAAATATCATGTGTCTTGTGGTAAAATCACAAGAGATGGCAACACTGAGGTTACTCCACCAGAATGATTATGCAGCCACTATCATTAGCAAACTACAGCAAGCTATCGTTGGGAATCTTGGCCTCAGTTTTTAAGGTCTCATCTACAAGGCCCGACACAGTAAACTACATGGTACTGAGTTTATCTACTACACCTGAAAAGCTAAGCTGAGCCTGCTGTGACTCAAACCAGCAGGTTCCAGAAAGTCTAGATATGCCAAAAGTAAAGTGTAGACCATTAGGTGCTTTGAGATGAAAAGCACTGTAAGTGCTAGATATTAAGTGATGCCCTGCAAAAGAGTCTTTCATTCAAATTGCATATGCATGTCAAACAGGGCCGGCTTTAGGCCAATTCCCCCGAATCGGGCCCCGCGCCTAAGAGGGCCCCACACCCTAAAGAAAAGCGCCTAACTTAGGTGCCTTTTTAATTTTTGTACTCACCTGGCACGGTCCGGGTCTTCGGAGGCACGGCAGCGGCGAGTCCTTCAGTGCCATGGAAGACCCGGAGCGAGTGAAGGACCCGCTGCTGAAGTGCCGCCGAAGACCCGGACAGCCGCTGGGTATTCGAATCGGGCCCCGCACTTACTAAAGCCGGCCCTGATGTCAAATGTGCCTGCCTATGAGCACACACACAGATTAAAGGCTGTAAATCTGAGTTGGCTTTCCACTACATTTGTCAATGCCAGTGAACCCCCATAATGTCTGGACAGGGGCGGCAGGTTATATGGACTCGTGGTGCCCGAGCACCAGGAATATTCAAGGTTGGGGGCTGTGCTTCACCAATATCTGGAGCTGGGTTTCTCCCCTGGACCTGCCTGGAGCGGGCACACACCCCCCCCTGCCCCGGAGCATCCCTCCCCCACCCTAGTAGCGTAGCTGGAGGGGAGCGGCTGCTCCCCTCTGTGCACATTTTCCAAAAGCGGCGCCTTTCCAGTTTCCAGGCAGCCAGCACTGGGCTCCGGACTCGGAGTCTGCAGCCGGGCACTGCCCCCCTGCATTCCCAGCCCTGCTCGCTAGCTCCGGGGCTGCAGGCAGTGTAGGCTGGTTGCCCGGCTCCCTGGGGATGAGGAGGAGGAGGCTCCCAAGCTGGGGTGGGCTCTGCCGGGAGGGGAAGGGGTGGCAGCACAGCGGGGGGGCTGAGGAGCAGCAGCCCGCGGTCCCCGGCAGCTCCATGCAGAGCGAGGCAGCTGCGCGGCAGGGAAGGGGGCTCTGAAGCCCAGCTGGTGCCGGTGGAGAAGAAAGGAAAAGGGGGGGGAATGTTTTTTCCTCGTGGTCTCCCTTCAGCAGAGGGGGCTGAGGGAGCGGCAGGACCAGGAGGCAAAGGAGCGACTTTGGGTTATTGCCCCCCACCCCATACTTCCCCCCCCAGTGCTGCGCCCCAGGCTGTGAAACTGTACTCAGTGCAGCTTGTGAAGGAAGGAGGGGTAAAGGTGCTTGGTCAGTTTGGATATCATTGTGTTTAGCACAATACTTGATT